AAGCCCCTCCATATCCGTCTGCATGTTAAGTCCATGTGTCTGTCTCCTGATGAATATCGTTTCCGAAGTCAGTTTCCTAATATTTTTAACATTATTATTGAGTAGTTCTTCCTTCTGTTTTGCCAATAGCCAGCAACACTTCGAATCTAGTCTACTCCTTTCGCGCAAGAAAAAAAAGATATGACAATTTCGTTTGCTTATTAAAGAAGGAATCGCAAATGTGAGTAGGGTGATAGCGGGAAATAACACGTGCAAGTCGAACAAGTTGTACACAAGTGAAATCTATTCTCCTATAAGTATCATTCAGTTCCAGCTTAAGAATTTGGCAAAACAGAAGGAAGAACTACTCAATAATAATATTAAAAATATTAGGCCTATTCGTTATTATCAAGAGCGGTACCCACTACCGATGCTGTCCATTGCAGTGATGGAGTGGCGAATGGGAATGTTGTCGTTGTACCCTAAGGTACAGAATTCTACTGGTGGAATAGTTAGAGAGATACAGATTGATCCTCAGCCTTTTCTCCCATTGATTCCTCCTCCATCGTTTTCCTCACCAAGGAATGGCTGGTTCGTGAATCTGTCAAGTGTTTCCATACCTCCCAATGTACAGAACTTTTTACAATTGGGAGATAACTTTGCCTTACCTTCGAACAATAGATTAGAGTTAACGGTCGATCTTATTAAATGTATCGAAAGTAATATTTACAAATTACCATAAGACCATTGGAGCTTTATCTCTAGAGATTGCTATTTATCGGAAAAGGAATTCTGTTCATTTTGTTTTGGATTCTATTTTCTTTGTTTTTGATAGTGTTACTTATAAGCAGAATTATGGTACGCCTATGGGCTCCCCGTTGTCTCCCGTCATCACGGATTTAGTTATGCAAAGATTGGAGAGTAGAGCTTTGTCTTCGATTAGATTCCCGTTGCCCTTTTATTATAGATATGTTGATGACATAATCTTGGCAGCCTGATTATTCGGTTATTCCATTCTTGAGATTTTTAATTCTCAGCATCCACGGCTTCAGTTTACTATGGAAGTGGGGGTAATAGATTAAATTTTTTGGATGTGTAGTGATTAGGGATAATGAGACGATAGAGTTCGATTGGTACCACAAGCCGACTTTTTCAGGTAGATATTTGAACTTTTGGTCACAGCACCCGGTTTCGCAAAAAATAGGTACAGTCGCGGGATTAGTTGATAGAGTAGTTCTGCTTTCGAATCCCAAATTTCACTTTGGTAACTTTTGTTTCATAATTAAGGTATTGTTAGGGAATGATTATCCATTGAACTTTATATTTGAGAACATTAGTAATCGGTTGAAGAACGTTATTATGGCTAGTAATAGGAAGAATGTAGTTAAGGAGAATAGCGTTGATGTAGTGCAACCTTCGTGGTTCACGGTTCCTTTCGTTCGTGAGCATTACTGAGAAGTTTAATAGATTAAAGAGTGATCATATGATGGTGTCGTTTTACAGCATTAACAAATTGCGAGAATTCATTAGAGTACAGAAGGGTCCCGTACCGCGTAGTAATAAGTCGAATGTAGTTTACAAGATTTCTTGTAAGGACTGTGACGCGAGTTACGTGGGACAGACGTGTAGACAGCTAAAAACAAGAGTCACGGAACACAAGAACCATAT